CAATTAAACTACGAGGTAGAGTGGACTACGAATGATAGTCTATATATGTATACATATAGGGCAAATTTGAAAAAAAGCTTTAAAGAACAATTTTTCCCGAATTTTTTTCGACTATTTCGGCTACATTCGGAATAATTGATCTGTAATAGCCTATATAGTTTGGTGGATACTAATAATAACTCATAGAGTGAATAGGTAAAGAGGTAATATTTTTTTACGGAATATCAGAACTGATGGCCGTGAAACAAATATTACTAATTAATACCAAATAGTGTTGATTGGACAATAGGAAACAAAGACAAAAAACAAAAACAAATCATTTTATACTATTAAAAGCTTCATGGATTACGATGTGCGTCTGCTCTAATCCAATAAAGGATTATTTAGATGTACAAAGAAAAATGAAATATTTCACCATTATGCATGCTACTTTAGTTTATAACTGAACACTAAAGCTAATGGAGTCACGAAAATAGAGGATTACTTTTTGTCTATTGCTTTGTTGCGTTTTTGCCGCGTAAATACCGGAATCTACGGTGTAAATGCTTTTATATGACTTTGAGAAAATTTGAAGCTTTTAGAACAAGTGRACTGACGATGATTGTATTTAGAGGAAAGAGCACACGAAGCTTGTTTGAGCGAATGTTTGAGTCGTTAAATCGACTGAACTAGCCTTCTCGTTTTTTTTTGTCGAGCCTCCATATCTAATATAGTTATTTCTGAATGACAAASACATTTCTTTGGTTTATCTSAGCGGTTATGACGTATATTGTCCCACGCTCTTATGCGTTAGCAGGATATTTTTACTATATTCTTTGCTTAGTCAAATGTTTTGCTCCTTTTTTAAAACGGCTGTTTTCATKGAGTCTTGAGTGTGAAAAGGATCGTGTTCATACTATTCTAAATGAATCTTTTAACATAGTTTTATTATGTAAATGTCAATTGTTATATTCCGTGTCTTCTGCTTTTTTTCTTCACTTTTTTTTGTTCGTTATTTATGGATGATATTATAGCTTCGTGTTATTTCGCATAACGATGTGACTAGCCAACAAATAGAATTTTTGGATCACCATTTATCTCAATGAAATCTTCTTCTATGAATGACAGACAATTCAGTCTATCTTTAATTATTGTTTCTGATACCATTCATTCGTAATCAACGTCTTTTCTGATAGCCATTCTTGACATCATCATAAGCGCCACCGTATGCATCAAAACATAAGTTTATTATGGCCAGCTGGTTATCAGCCGAGAGTCCTCGGTAATGAATGGTGCCACGCTTCTCTTAGCAATATCCTATAGCGTTCAACAAGTAGCATCTAAAAATTGAAACAAAGTTTTTTCTGTCACCAGTCGACGTTTTGTCAGCTTGAGCCGTGTCTCGGGGCTGCAAGCGCTATCTAAAATGAACTTATTTTAGCATTTATCAATTGAAAACAGAACGTCCCTTACGGCCATCGTGAATCAAGATAGCACGGCAAAGTATATGGACGGAAGAGAATTTTTTGTTCTAATCTTTTTTTTCCTGTATTCAAGGTCGTTTGAAAACAATACCAGAATTTCCGACGTTTTTATTGCAAAGATCTTTGTCTTCTGTGTAAACAAATCGATAAAACAAAATAATAGTATTTTGTTTGTGTAGTCGTATTTTAATAGTAAGAACTATATCGGAAAGCGGACTGATCAATTGTACAAACGTGAATATCTTTGAAAACAACTTCCCATTCAAATTCTAATCGCAAGTAATTGCGCGTAGGYTCATCTAGTTCTAAAACTACGCGTTGATAGTCAATATATTGAATTGGAACCAACTCTGTCATTTGATAGCATTAGACCGCTTGTATCAACGTCAGCTCATAGGTTGATAAACCTGAAAGCATGGAATTAATTCTAGTTAATGACTAATGCACACCTTAAATTTTTTCTAGAATATTGAACTTGACAAACGTTATGTTTTAGAATTGCCACCTTTATTATTTGAACATCGTAATGTGATTCGCCTCTTTAAAATGATTATCTAGTTGAATCTATCGAGCTCTCTCTACGTGAAATCTTTAATTAAAATATAGAAGAGAAAGCAGGGTTTACGACGTATGGGAGCGAAAACGAATATCATAAACCAGGGATCACTGTAGGCCAAGTAAAACCGTTATAAKACCCCTTTTAGTTTATATCAGGAGTGTTTGATAGATTTTTCGATAGAATGTGAACTGTGATCAGCGTGCCGTACTTTTCTAAATGTGTTAAAAGGTTTAGGTATTAATAACTGCTATAGAGTTGTTTGAGTAACTAAAAGACRAGTAGTGTCACATTCTTTATTTCTATAAATAATGGACCATTCCGTGGAACAATACTAGTCATAGTAGACYCGTCTATCGCTCACTTGGCGTCCATTCGCCCTGCATTTCGACACACTTCTTATGAAACCATAGTTCCTATTGTATTTTTTTTCGTATATTTAAATCCAACTATTTCAAAAAGTTGAAAATAAAATAAAGCAACTGGGAAAGCATTTAAAGCAATTGGTTCAACACCGACTGCGAGAATCATGTATAAAAACATACTATGATTATTGGAGTCCCTTATTAACATTGTTTTTGTTTTGAATTTCTAGTATGACAAGGTTCGTTGTGCATTTCTTCAACAATGATGGGCATATAACATTCTGTTTGATCTATTCTATTAATTTCAGCCCTGTTAACAATTTTATATAATATGATAACTGTTTTCTTATTTTGACAAAAGGGATATTAAAAMTTTTGAGCGTTGGTTGTGGTATAGTTCGCAAATTTGTTTATTAGACGGGGAAATTCACAACCAACAACAGCTTGATTGGACTGACARTTTCTTTTCCTTTCCACATCGACAGCACTACTTTCCGTAACAAATACAGAGGAAAACAACATTAGATTGATCAAGAGACTGATGTTTTAAATGATTGTTAAATCTGACAAACCATAAATAACGAACATAACCATCKCAAATTATTTCAGTGTTTGAATCTTTGTACATTGAAGCTAGCCTGATACGCCTATGACGCCTTTTTAAAACAAAAGACTTACCTTTCTGAATGGTATCTTTATAAAATGCGATAGTAAACTGAAGTGGCTTTTCAGGTCTCTGTTACTCTCTTTTTATATAAAAAAATCATCGGGGTGGCATTTTAATACGTTTTCCACTTCCATATAAGGAACTTTACGTCACGATAGAAAACCCTCACATGGTATGTAAAAAAGCTCTAGTTCAGTYAAGGACTTAATTCATAAACGCAAATTGTGTTTGTTTAATTGCATTTGATGATCAAAATGTTCTATTCTATTCAAAATCGCTGTAATCCTTTATACTTTATGCGTTTGCCAAACTCATTTATCGAAAATAATTTGACAGCATTTTGTTCATTATATTCAGTATTCCTTTGATTCCCGACACTTTTTTAGTCGCGGATATTAAGTGACTTCTTATTATTTGTGTTTTGCATTATTGGTGAGTTTATCTGTAATATAGTGTCTAGTATTTTCCTATACTTAATCCTTTTGCAGGGCTTATACAAGATCATGAAAATGKCTTAAACGAATTGAAGTAGGCACTTCGAATTTGTTCAATTTCCCAAGAACGAATCACCTACGACTATTCAAGCAATTACATATCACCTGTCCATCATAGGATGAAAAGGATACGTACTTTTGATCACGTGTGGCATAAAAGAAGACTGGACTAACTAATTAAAAATGTGACTAAGAAACTTCCGCAATTACGTRCCCAAAAGGAAGTGTGGAGTTTCGAAAAGATAAGAGGATTGATAGTAAGGAAATTCAGATGCAAGGCAGTGATAAAGAAGCATTTCCAAGTGAAACATTGGATTGAAAAGAAAGAGATCATGTTTCTGAACTGGAAAAACGCAATACTCGAATAATATTTTGTTGCAGTGTCATTTAACTTAAAGAAATAAAAAAGAGATTAGTTACGATAAAAATGCTTTCGATGTATTCTGACAAACCGACAGGAGATACCCATCAAAGCAAATTATCATCGTTTTGACCAGACGCTAGATTTCTACCTGTTGTTGCATCTTTGTGTCCAAAGCGCCGATAAAAGCCCATCGATAAAAAAACTGTTCGATTATTTTATTTCGACATCAAAGTAGCGATTTGAACTGAATTGTAGGGAGATAATCATCATAATCATTGCCAATGATAAMCCGTAAGTTATTTGTCATGTTTGACGGCGTTCTTATTAAGTATGCTGGCATACTAAAGTATTTTGACAGAAAATTATGACATGAATCAGTAGGGAGATGTTTCCTTAATCCCCTGAACAGAGATCCAGCAAAGGACAAAAGCTTATAATAAAAAAACTATGAGATAGTCTTTATTGATAGCTTTGTTTTAGTATAGCTATAGCACACAAATAGTTGAAAACCTTTAAAGATTATGTTACCCACTTAGGCAGAGATTCGATATCACAGAGGAAAAATTGTCGCGGAAGAGGAGTCTTTGAAACGACCGAACGAGCAAATAACCTACGTTTGGCGTAGTTCTGAAATGGGTTTAGAGTGGGTATCAGGTTGGGAATGTGTATTCGATATAGACAACTCTAAAGTGTTGATTGAATATTTATTCAAGTCTTTTCTCAGCAAATTGTGAAAACGTCCCAATTAGTGTCCATAGTCAATTATCGTTTTCATTATAAACCAATGGGGGAAAAAGCATGTGTATGGATTGTGTCAGCGTAAAACTAACAGGTGTCCTAAAAACGCCGCGATAGATACTGACGTTATTACTGTTGCTCGCACTTTTAAAGTTCAGAGGACATTTCTCCAAAAATAATCATTTTTCAAACTTAGAGAAATGACCCTAAACTACATGCACTTACAATCACCATGAAAATCTAGAACAAAACTAATGAAAAGCCATAGAGATAACATTCTTTAAAAGTCAAACATAAAAGAAAAATATATATCTAGGGAAATGACATGGCCATCACCATACTTTTATATAAAGATTTGAAAGCTTCACATTGYTCAGATTTTTATTGGAATTAATCTAGATTTGCGCAATTTCTAATTAAAACATGTACTTTTACAGGGACCGCTACAGCCCCTCCCCCCAATTAATATTTCCGACTTTGAGTTTTCTTAAATAAAGAAGCGAAGTCTTTGGGATTTTATTGATAATATCGCTGACCGTGTGTGTAGTAAATATCCTTGGATAACGCCTCAAAACGCTGGAAATGACATTTCCGAGAGTTAAGATTTCAAAARTTTCCGAACGCCCCTACCTCCTCGCTGCTAGCCCCCCCTTCCCCCCAAACAAATTTACGCTCCGCAGTCCCTGCTTTAAATGTAATATTTCAAAGTTCGGAGAATATCCTAATGATTATTGAGCCGGGCAATCATTTTGGAAAAAGGTGTACTGAACACTTCGGCCACATTTGGGATAGATGTCCAGAATTTAATACTGACTTTATAGACTAACATTTGCAAATGGTCGAATCGACTTTGAAAGCTTTCAGCAATTACAGTCAACTTAAGTAACACCTACATCGCTTAAAATATAGAGACAGACTTAGAAAGTTAAACGTTTCGCCCTTTCAAGCTTCTTCGGAGATATATACAACAAAAAATAAAACTAAACAAAGATGTTTCGGTCCTCGAGTCTGATATAAATGTATCGGCCAATGCAGACATTCATAAGTGTTTCACGGTTTGTGTCTTTTATTTCCATAACATCGGGTCGAGAATACATTACTCATGCATTGGATCTGACGATCTTCGTCGTGATTAATCTTGCTTGCAGAACATATTAGTAGGTAAGTGGASTTGGTGGACTTGGATTAATAATTGAATGTCAAAGGTTCAGCATCTCTTGGGTCGTCTGATAATTTGGTAATTGGTCTGTTCTTGAYAAAAGATTCGATTTTGTTGCTGCAGGAGACTACTGAGAACTTTTCCCACATTCCTAATGCAACGTTCCCATACACCAACTTTCAAGGTATGCTGTTGACTCTTGATGTTCTTGATTCCATTCTTTCACAGTGTTCGAGCAACCTAGTTGCTTCCACGGACGAAATTCCATTATCTGAACGATGTGAGTTTCGGCCTTTCACGTCTTACCGTATAACGACGAAGTGGCCAATTGCAAGCATCGATAAGCAGGTATGTTCACAGGCAACCCAAGCAAAGCATTTGATTCAAAATTGTTTTTTTAATAAAATACATTTTACCTTAATCTCATGTGTTGCTGATGTTATTTAACATTGCTGTGTGTGATTTTGAAGGTATTTAGAACTATTTTAAAAAAAAACATCGCCATCAGTCATAAAAGACTACAAGGCTGGTTACAGAACTTCCACACCAATCGTCTCTGAAGGCCGAAAAAATATCTTAAATCCATMTTTTGCCTCAGCGGGAGTACTTGAACTGATTCCATGGTAACTGTCAGGCTATAGTAACGAGGTATATTTTTTTGCTGTTGATCCGGATCAAAAGGCTAAAAACGTGATCCGGATCCCAAAATTTCGTACATTTTGATCCCTGATCCCCTTACGGTACCTTACAGAATCGTTGAAAAAAATCATGGATCCCGATCTCGGTTGAAAAACGTTTCAGTGATCCCAGGTTATATCCATTTGATCCGGAACCTAAGCCTAAATCCTGATCCCTGATYCCAAAATAGCCCAAAAATTGACGCTGATCCCTGATGCCAAGACCTCGTTACTAGCCTGAACTGTCGTCCAATCAGAGGGAACGGTGTCTATCAAGGTCGATGAATGCTTGAGCGGATTCAAAAATTGAGTCGGAATATCGTACAAACATGACAATTTGGCACGGTTGGATTTGAAGTCCGTTGAARTATTGCCYWATTCTGGATAGAAGGATCCTAGAGACATGCCGCTGAGGGGATTTTGGAGGCAAAAGATGKATTTAAGATATTTTTTTCGGCCTTCAAAGACGAGTGRYGTGGACGCTCTGTAACCTGCCTTGTAGTCTTTTATGACTGATGTCGATATTTTTTTAAAAATAGCTCTAAATCCCTTCAAAATCACACACAGCAATGTTAAATCAGCAACAGCATGAGATTAAGGTAAAATGTATTTTACTAAAAAAAACACAATTTTGAATCAAATGCTTTGCTTGGGTTGCCTGTGGTATGTTTTACAGTAACTAGACGCTCTTGGMGCGTGAAGTCGGGCCAGCTATTTTTGAAAATTGAGAAAGACAGGTTATTACATGGATGCGCGTATAGGAGAACGATTGAAAGGTTTTAAACACGATAATATTATGATGTTATATTTTGTCTA